TGCGCTATTACGCCATGGTCACACTTGTCGAAGGCTTTTGCAAAGTCTGTATATATTACATCTGCATTCTTTTTGTCTTCTAGTGCATTTAGGACCTTGTCGTAGTGATCCAGTAGTTGAGACAGACAGGAGCGACCTGTTCTAAACCCATGTTGCCCTGGGTTGTGTAACTGATGGGTTTCTAGATGGGTGATGATCTTGCTTCTTAGGACCCTTTCAAAGATTTTTATGATATGGGATGTTAGTGCTATTGGTCTGTAGTTCTTTGCTGTTGCTTTACTGCCCCTTTGTGGAGTGGGGCTATGTCTGTTGTTTTTAGTAACTGAGGGACGACCCCGTGTCCATGCTCCCTCCATAGGATGGAAAAGGCTCGTGATAGGGGCTTCTTGCAGTTCTTGATGAACACAGAGTTCCATGAGTCTGGCCCTGGGGCAGAGTGCATGGGCATGTCATTTATCGCCTGTTCGAAGTCATTTGGCGTCAGGATAACATCGGATAGGCTTGTGTTAGTCAAATTTTGTGGCTCTCTCATAAAAAATTCATTTTGGTCTTCGACTCTCAGTCTGGTTAGCGGCTTGCTAAAAACTGAGTCATATTGGGACTTGAGTAGCTCACTCATTTCCTTGCTGTCATCTGTGTAGGACCCATCTTGTTTAAGTAGGGGCCCAATACTGGACGTTGTTCTCGATTTTGATTTGGCATAGGAGAAGAAATACTTTGGGTTTCTTTCGGAGGGAAGGGGTAAAGGAGGGTTTGTATGCAAGGGGCTTGGACTTCCAGCTAGCGTGCATGAGTGTGTTATATAGGAGCAAATGGAGACAAATAGTTTTTAGGACTTGACATGCTGTTGGAGTGTAAGTGAGGTAACATTTATGAAGGGATTCAGGGAAATTGGCAGGCCGGACTTGATTCCTGGAGATGGGAAGTAGAGGGTTGGCACTCTGAAGGAGGGGTGTTAATGTTGCAGTTTTGTAACTGTAAGGTAAGCATGCCTCTGGCAAGACAGTGATGGAGTGAATCATGATTGAAAGTTTTTCTTTTTCGAACCACCCTGCCTTGGTGGGAAATGGCCGATGTGTTAATAATAAAAAAAGGATAACTAAGAGGGTACTGTATATAAACCTGGATTGGTAGGGAGAAGAGATACAAACATATTTAGTCATTTAGAAGTTTATCAGGAAAAGACTGATGGAGTACCTAGAAAGGAATGAGCTTGCACACGATAACCAGCACAGTTTCAGGGAGAGGAAATTCTGTGTCACAAACCTACTTGAGTTTTATAAGTAAGACAGAGAGAGAGAGAAAAAGAGAGAGAGAGAGAGAGAGGGGTGGATAGACTGCATTATCTTGGACTGTAAGAAGGCTTTCAACACAGTTCTGCACAAAATATTACTACAAAAGCAAGAGGAGCACTCAGGAATAACTTGACAACACTAGAGGAAAGAAAGGGTGGGAGGCATGATAACAACATATAAAATACTGATATAAATTGACATAGTGGATAGGGACAGGATGTTTCAGAGATGAGACACAGCAGCAAGGTAGTCATAAAAGGTGTTGAAGGGAGGGAGTAAAGGAGGCTTTGAGTAACAGGGGCCTGAACATATAAAAAGTGATGCGAGTCTGGAATGCAAGAAAGGGATTTTATGGCTTAATGTTCTGTTGCAGTATGAGCAAAGTAATATTTATGAGGGGATTCAGGGAAAGTGGTTAGCCAAACTTGTCCTGGCTGTTGGAAGTATGTTGCTTGCACTCTAAAGGAGTGAGGATGTTGCAGTTCAGAGGGGTCATCTGGCAATAGAGAGTTTAATTCAATGATAATTTTTTTTTGTCACCATACTTCAATGAGAAACAGCAGGATTTGCATTTATTTATAGTCATCCAGGTAGATATCTGAGTGTTATTGAGAGAGTTGAGATTTGGGTGGGAGATGACAAAAGTTGTATTGTCTGCAAACAGAACAGGTCTAAGCTTTTTAGGTGCACTTGGAAGATCATTGATGTATACAAGGAAAAGCAGAGGGCTGTGAACTCTGCCCTGTGGGGCCCCCTGTGTCAATAGTTCATGTTGTTAAGGTCATGCCCTGAATGGAGACATACTTATGTCTGTTGTTATGGTAGGAATTTATATATGCACGTGCATGATTCTTCTTCTCTTTTTTAGTAAATGTCTACAGGAGAAGGGGTTACTAGCCCATTGCTCCCAGCATTTTAGTCGCCTCATACGACACGCATGGCTTATGGAGGAAAGATTCTTTTCCACTTCCCCATGGACAATAGAAGAAATAAAGAAGAACAAGAGCTATTTAGAAAAAGGAGAAAAACCTAGATGTATGTATATATATATATATGCATGTGTGTGTCTGTGAAGTGTGACCAAAGTGTAGGTAGGAGTAGCAAGATATCCCTGTTATCTAGCGTGTTTATGAGACAAAAAGAAACCAGCAATCCTACCATCACGCAAAACAGTTACAGGTTTCTGTTTCACAGTCATCTGGCAGGACGGTAGTACTTCCCTGGGTGGTTGCTGTCTACCAACCTACTACCTGCACTCTGAAGGAGGGGTGTTAATGTTGCAGTTTAAAAACTGTAGTGTAAAGCACCCTTCTGGCAAGACAGTGATGGAGTGAATGATGGTGAAAGTTTTTCTTTTTCGGGCCACCCTGCCTTGGTGGGAATCGGCCAGTGTGATAATAAAAATAAAAATAAGTGCATGATCTCTGATACCATAATGTTTAAGTTTATGGTGCAGAATGCTGTGGCCTACTGTGTCAAAAGCTTTCCTAAAGTCAATAAGGAGGTGTAGTGGGTATTCATTATTTTTAAGAGCTGCATAAATGAAGTCTAGCATTTTTATAATTGCATCATTTGTGCTTTTATTTGGCTAGAAACTAAACTGTCTCAAAGGTTGAGTATATTGAGTGATGCTAGGAAAGAGTATACTCTCATGTGAATTAATTTTTTGAAAATTTTGGATAACAAAAGTAGGCTAGATATTGGTCCATAGTTATTTACATCTGTTGGGGTAACCCATGCTATCTTTAATATTATTGAGGAAAGTGTTGGTTTCTAATGGCTTGTTGAGCAATACTGTAATGGTGGGGTGAAAGTACATTAGCTGCTCTGGGTCTAGATGTAACTTACTGCACAGAATAAGGTAAAAAAAATTAGTTAAGCAAATACAAACAATACAATACACAATAATACACAGTGATCTAGTAAATGGAATATAAAAATAACAAAAGAATTTATCTATAACAAAGTGTAAAGAATAAAGGAATTAATCAATAACAAATAAGGGGAAGGAATGGCACTATTAATTGCACAGCAGTAAGATGGAAGATGTATGGCACTGTAAATGTCTGTGGGCTATTTAGTCTTGCTCAAACCTCTGTCTAAGGAAGTTTCTAGATCTTGTTTGTTAGTTATTTCATACATGTGACCTGTGGCTGATTTTTTTACAACCTCGGGCAAGACTGATGAATGTTGTCATTTTCACGTTTAATTTTTGTAGCCTATACAGTAGGGTCTGTCACTTTTTTTGTTGTACTTGTGTACAAACACTATTATTTATTGTGATGGAAGATCTAATTAGGTATTTTATCTATCATATAAATGAAATCTTAGTATTACACTTCTTTAAAGACTCAAGTTGCCTAACAAATGGTCCTCCTTAATATCACTAATTTCTAGGTTAACCTGCAGATCATCTTTGATCAGTTATAGTGTGGTTTATGAGCAAAAACTTGGATTAATGTCTCGAGGCAGACAAGAACTTTACAATTACAGAATCTAGTATCCATTTGATATTTCCAGGCAGGTACATCATTTATCTATTAATAGCAGTTGACTGAACTTCCTTGTGGTCTTCATTCATTTTTACTTTTGCTCAAGCTCGTGGATCTTTTTGGCTTGAGCTAATTGGGCGAGTTCAAGGTCAGCAGTCTTTTTACAAGAATGTTCTGTAATGATCAAAGCTTATTGTTTTCTTGTTGAATGCACAGTAGGTTACGTGACAGAATTGATGAGCTTTTTTGCACCATGAGGACCTCAGCAATTCTTGGGTACTTGGTTGAAATTTTGTTGAAGCCATGGAAGGACGAGTAAAAATCTTGAAGTAGGTTGGTCATATTTGTTGTTTCATAAGCCACTAAACCATCCATGAGGGAAGGTGCTAGGGTGAAACTTTCCTCACCTAGGTTCCTTTGAGTCTTGTTACGTGTGCTTCTTCTACTGCATTTTCCTCTGCTCATAAGAACATTGCCTCTAGGGGCTGATAAATTAAGGAGCCGACTGATAATACATGTAAATAAAAATAGTTTTATCTTCATTTTTCTTGTAAATACATTTCCCTATGCTAATTGTAATTTTTTTTTTCTTTTAGCAATTTGCAGTTTATTTTCCTTTGTGGATAGTTAGCAAGGTTAGTCCAGCACTTGTGGCAAAAAATTAAACAAAATTAGGTAACAATTTACTATGATCAATTAAAAGCAACTAGGCAACTATAGATACTAAATTTATTGGCCATAATCCTCAGGTGTGTAAAATGGCTACAATGGGAAATTATAAGTGCTTAACAAATTTATAGTGTTAGAAATCCTTTCTGAATAATGTTTATTAATCAGAAGACGAGTAATTATGGGTCCTGCACCCAGGCTCATGATCTTGGTCTTAACACTACCATCATTCTCCTTTGTACAAACATTGTATCATCCTGTTATAAATTTATCATTATCATCATCATGGTCACCACTGGTTGAAGTAACACAACCAGGTAACCCAGCAGTAGCACAAGTTTGTGTACACCCACCAAATGAAGCCTCTCTTGCTTCTTCTTTCTTGTATCTAAATTTTATTAACTTTGTGCTTTATTTGCATAGTGAATTTTATGATTTTTTTTTCTAACTCCTTCATCCTGTGAAATTAACATTAGAATGAAATTACACGTAACAGGTAATTTTGATTTTATCTCGAAATTGTTTATAATTTTTTTTCCTTCAGATCAAGGATGTATTGGAAGAAATGCTTATGAGTATGTGTCATAGAGTTCAGGAATCGGGCAGCATCACATATATTGCATCTGGTGTTATTCAAATCTACGTACAACACTACCGTCAGTACCACCGAGCACTCAGAAAAGTACGTACTTGATTGCAGTTCATTCTGTATGTTTGTTTTTCGACCATCATGATTTACACCAAGAAAAATGGATAAATAATTGGTAATAGTAAAGGCAAACTCAGCATCTTAACTTTGATAGACTTGGCCTTTGAATACTGTGAAAGTAAGAATGATCTTTTGATATTATTGCACTGATTTATGAGTTTTTATAATTTAAACATACACATAAATACAGTGCCCTATTTTTTAAAACTTTTTTTTTTTTTAAACCACATAAAAGATGCTAGCGTTAACCTTACTAGGTGAAACACTTTGATTTATAGATGTAAACTAAGAGAAGTCATTGTGTTTATTATGGCACGTTTGATTCACTCCAGTAAAAAGTGTTGGATTATAGTCAACACTTTAGTACACTTGTCTCGTTTACATGCACAATAATTTCAATTTATGTACAGTGACAGTTAGATTAGGTAGCTTGTCTCACATTAGGCATTTGAAGGGGGGGGGGGTGCCTTGATGATGTGCTCTTAATCCAAGGAATTGGATCTAATATCTTTAAATCATGTCCGATTGCCTCCCATTGAGAGGTGTTTACAAAGTAGAAGTGATACAAGGAGGGAGAAGTATATGGAGAGAAAACAAGATTAAGAGAGTGGTGAAGGAATGTAAAAGGAGAGCAAATGAGAGAGTGGGTGAGCTGCTATCAACAAATTTTGTTGATTAAGAAAAAGTCTTGGAGTGCGATTAATAAGCTGAGAAAGCCTAGGGAATGAATGGATTTGACAGTTAAAAATAGGAGAGGAGAATTATTAGATAGAGAATTAGAGGTATCAGGAAGATGGAAGGAATATTTTGAGAAACTGTTAAATATTGATGAAGATAGGGAAGTTGTGATTTTGTTCATTGGGCAGGGAGGTATGACATCTTGTAGGAGTGAGGAAGAGCCAGTTGTGAGTGTGGGGAAGGTGTATGAGGCAGTGGGTAGAATGAAAGTGGGTAAAGCAGCTTGGATTGATGGGATAAAGACAGAAAGGTGGGGGTATAGTTTTGGAGTGCTTGGTGCTTTTATTTAATAGATGTATGGAAGAGGGCAAGGTACCTAGGGATTGGCAGAGAGCATGCATAGTAAAGGGGATAAAAGAGTGTAAAAATTAAAGGGGAATAAGCCAGTTGAGTGTAACTGGTAAAGTGTGTACTAGTTATTATTCAAATAATTATAAGTATTTTTTTTTTAACATGTTGGTTGCTTCCCACCAAGGCAGGGTGGCCCAAAAAGAAAGAAAAAACTTTAATCATTCAACACTTTCACCGTCACTCATACATAATCACTGTTTTTGCAGAGGCGCTCAGATACGACAGTTTAGACGTCCCTCCAAACTGCCAACATACCAAACCCCTCCTTTAAAGTGCAGGCATTGTACTTCCCATTTCCAGGACTCAAGTCCAGCTAACTGGTTTCCCTGAATCCTTTCACAAAATATTACCCTGATAACATTCCAGCAGCTCGTCAGGTCCCAAAAACCATTTGTCTCCATTCACTACTATCTAACACGCTCACGCACGCTTGCTGGAAGTCCAAGCCCCTTTGCCCACAAAGCATCCTTTACCCCTTCCCTCCAACCTTTTCGGGGACGACCCCTACCCCGCCTTCCTTCCCCAATAGAATTATACGCTCTCCGGGTCATTCTACTTTGTTCCATCCTCTCTAAATGACTAAACCACCTCAACAGCCCCTCTCCAGCCCTCCAGCCTTTTAGTAACCCCACACCTCCTAATTTCCACACTCCGAATTCTCTGCATAATATTTACACCACACATTGCCCTTAGATATGACATCTCCACTACCTCCAGCCACCTCCTCGCTGCAGTATTTACAACCCATGCTTCACGCCCATATAAGTGTTGGTACCACTATACTCATCGTACATTCCCTTCATTGCCTCCATGGACAATGTTCTTTGTCTCCACACATACCTCAGTGCACCACTCATCTTTTTTTTCTTCATCAGTTCTATAGTTTACCTCATCCTTCATAAACCCATCTGCTGACAAGTCAACTCCCAAATACCTAAAAATATTCACTTCTTCCATACTCCCTCCAATGTAATATCCAGTTTTTCTTTATCTAAATCGTTTGATACCCTCATCACCTTATTCTTATCTATATTCACTTTCAACTTTCTACCTTTACACACCCTCCCAAACTCGTCCACTAACCTTTGCAACTTTTCTTTAGAATCCCCAAAAAGCACAGTATCATCAGCAAAAAGTAACTGTCAACTCCTTTTTTTTGTATTTGATTCCCCATAATTTAATCCCACCCCTCTCCCCAACACCCTAGCATTTACTTCTTTTACAACCCCTACCTATAATTATGTTAAATAACCATGATGCCATCACACATCCCTGTGTAAGACCTACTTTTACTGGGAGGTAATCTCCCTCTCCCCTACACACCCTAACCTGAGCCTCACTATATTCATAAAAACTCTTTACAGCCTATTGTAACTTAATGCCTATTCCATACACTTGCAGCATCTGCCACATTACTCCCCTATCCACTCTATCATATGCCTTTCCTAAATTCATAAATGCAAGGAAAACTTCCCTGCTATTATCTAAATACTGTTTACATATATGCTTTAATGTAAAGACCTGATCTACACATCCCCTACCCATTTTGAAGCCTCCTTGCTCATCTGCAATCCTGCTCTGTCTTACCTCTAATTCTTTCAGTAATAACCCTACCATACACTTTACCTGGTATACTCAGTAAACTTCTTCCCCTATAATTTTTGCAATCTCTTTTGTCCCCTTTCTCTTTATATAAATGAATTATATACACTTTCTGCCAATCCCTCGGTACCTTACCCTCTTTCATACATTTATTAAACACAAAATACAAACTATTCCAACACTATATCTCTCCCTGCTTTTAACATTTCTGTCAGGATCCCATCAGTTCCAGCTGCTTTACCCCCTTTCATTCAATGTACTGTGTCACGAACCTCCCCTACACTCGCATCCTGCTCTTCTTCGCTCCTAAAAGATGTTTTACCTTCCTGACCCGTGCATGAAATTACTGCCTCCCTTTCTTCGTCGACATTTAAAAGTTCCTCAAAATATTCCCACCATCTACTCAATACCTACAGCTCCCCATCTACTAATTCCCCTACTCTGTTTTTAACTGACAAATCTATTCATTCCCTAGGCTTTCTTAACTTATTTATCTCACTCCAAAATTTTTTCTTATTCTCAGCAAAATTTCTTGACAACGCCTCTACCACTCTATCATTTGCTCTCCTTTTGCACACTCAACACTCTCGTCACCTTTCTTTTACTCTCCATATGCTCTGCCCTTCTTATATCACTTCTGCTTTGTAAAAACCTCTCATAAGCTACCTTTTTCTTTTATTTATATATACATAAATAGTTAATAAATAGTTGGGTTATTATTGAAAGAATTAGAGGTAAGACAGAATGAAGGATTGCAGATGAGAAAGGAGGTTTTAGAGTGGGTAGGGGATGTGTAGATCAAGTGTTTACATTGAAGCATATATGTGAACAGTATTTAGATAAGGTATCGAAGTTTTCATTGCATTTATGGATTTGGAAAAGGCATATGATAGTGGATAAGGGAGCAATGTGGCAGATGTTGCAAGTATATGGAATAGGTAGTAAGTTATTAAATTCTCTAAAGGGTTTTTATGAGGATATTGAAGCTTAGGTTAGGGTGCGTGGAAGAAAGGGACGGTAAAGTAGGTCTTAGACAGGAATGTGTAATGTCACCTCATTGTTTAATATATTTATAGATGGGGTTGTAAAAAGTAAATGCTAGGGTGTTCGGGAGAGGGGTGGGATTAAATTATGGGCAATCAAATACAAAATGGTAATTGACACAGTTACCTTTTGCTGATGATACTGTGCTTAATGGAGAGTCTAAAGAAAAATTGCAAAGGTTAGTGGACGAGTTTGGGAGTGTGTGTAAAGGTAGAAAAGTTGAAAGTGAACATAGAAAAGAGTAATGTGATGAGGGTATCAAATGATTTAGATAAAGAAAAATTGGATATGAAATTGGAGAGGAGTATGGAAGAAGTGAATGTTTTCAGATATTTGGGAGTTGACGTGTCAGCAGATAGATTTATGAAGGATGAGGTTAATCATAGAATTGATGAGGAAAAAAAGGTAAGTGGTGCATTGAGGTATATGTGGACACTCCCACAGGTCATTATCATTTCCTCCGTATGGCCTTTGGGTTACGATCTTCCCCTATCACATTCTCTAGGCTCATGACCATTATCTTTAGAGGTCTCATAGGTAAGGCACTTATGGTGTACTTAGATGATGTAATCGTCATGTCTGAAGATGTGGATACACATTTGAAAAGGCTTGATGTAATACTTGGTAAGCTTGAAGAAGCCAATTTAAAGATCAAACTGTCTAAATGCCAATTTTTCAGATCAGAAATTAAGTTTCTGGGTCACGTAGTCACTCCTAGAGGGGTTACAACTGATCAGAGTAAAGTAACGGCAGTACTAAATTTTCCATCTCCCAAAACTGCTGATGCCGTAAGATCCTTTGTGGGTGTAGCAGGTTTTTATAGATCTTTCATTGCTAATTTTTTCTTCCATAGCAGCTCCTCTAACTGAATTGCTTAAGAAAGATGCTCCTTTCGTTTGGACCTTCCGTCAAGAAAGAGCTTTCCAAACACTAAAAGAAAAGCTAATGTCTGCTCCATTTTTGAAATTTCCAGATTTTTCTAAGCCCTTCTATCTGACAACTGATGCTAGTTCAATTGGCATAGATGCCGTACTAGCTCAGAAGACTGATGGCAAGTACAACACAGTTGCATTTGCTAGTAGAGTCCTTACGAAGGCTGAATGTAATTATACAGTAACGGAGCAAGAAGCTTTAGCAATAGTATGGTCTTTAAAGCACTTCTGAGACATTATTTATCAGTACTCTGTTCATGTCTTGATAGACCATGCTCCACTGATACCTTTATTCCAGAATAAACAACCTACTGGAAGGTTAGGCAGATGGACCTTGACTATCCAAGAGTTCAATCCTACCTTTGAACACTTACCTGGCAAGTCAAATGTAGTCGCGGATGCTTTATCGTGACATGTTAGTATAGTAACTGCAGACCCTCAGTTTACTGCCGAGGACGTAAAGAATGCCCAAAGAACAGATCCCATGTGGTCTGGTGTGATTCGATTCCTGCTCCAGGAAGATCTTATTCTGACTGTGAAGCCACCAGCACCCATTAGTGACTTTGTCATGAGTCAAGAATTACTGTATCGAACAGCGGAGTTGGGTACTCCAAGCAGAAGGGTATACCAATTAGTAATTCCACAGTCTCTAGTGAATGTAGCTCTACAGCTAGTTCACAATGCACCAGGTGTTGCACACTCTGGTATGGATCATTCTGTGAAACAAGCCAGGATGAAATACTTTTGGCCACGTATGGCAACTGACATTTCCGAGTATGTCAAGAAATGTAGTGTCTGTATGCAGCATAAAGGAAATGTCAATGGTCCTAATCCAATCCAGGTGTATCCAACTACTAGCAAACCATGGGAAAGAGTTGCGCTTAATTTGTTAACCAATTTTAAATGTTCCCTCCAGGGTAACAAACATCTGTGTTATGGTAGACTATTTCACCAGATATTGTGAGTTAGTTCCTATTGCAGATAAGACTGCCGAGACAGTAGCTAAAGTGTTTAAGGAACGCATTATCTGCAGGCACACCACCCCTAAGTCCCTAGTAACAGATAATGGAGGTGAATTCTGAAACGAGATACTTGAAAATTTGTGTACCTTGTACAAAATCTCTAAGTCAACCATTGTTCCCCATCATCCTGCGAGTAATGGTTTGGCAGAACGAACAAATAAGAAAGTACATACTTGATGTTTTGAGAGCCACTATCAACCCCAATAGTGAAACTTGGGATGTTCAATGTGCTATAAATTCTGCTTACAATGGCTTCCTTAGGTGACACTCCACATTATGCATTGTACAGTGTAGACAAGCGTTTGCCTTATGAGTTGTTCTATTCCACACTGAAACCCAATTATAACCCTGATGATTTTATAGCAACTCGTACCAGTATAGCTCATTGTTTTTAGAAGAATCCGTGAATCACTTCATAAATCAATAGCAGAATTTACTAGAGTAACAAATAGCCATGCTAAGCCAACCAGAGTTAAAGTGGGTTCAAGGGTAATGCTGACTAATTTCAACAAAACATCCGCAATGCCTAAGCTCGATCAAAAGTTTGTTGGCCCTTATCGAGTAGTTGAACATATCAATGGCAATAAGTATAAGGTTAGAGAAATTAGTACTAGTCGGTATAAAGAATCACATTTAGATCATATGAAGCTAGTATGCGATGTAGAGGATATTAATTCTACCCAGACTAATGTCAGTATAGCTACTGAATTCCCCTATATGCATACTTGTGTAGTATATTGTAGATCGTATCATCCATGTACATATTTAGGCTCCCTTTCAGTAGGCTCATCGACTAGCATGTGTGACGTCATGTGATGCGCATGTGTGCGTGAGAATCTCTAACTCTGGGGTGGAAAGCTGGCTAGCAGGCAAGGCTGGCACTTAAGACAGGCTGGATGGTGTAGGGCTGACTCCCCCCCCCATAGACTGGCTTGGTGGCTTGGCTTAATTTGCAAACCAGGATCAACCCCTCGGAAGTAATGCAAATAAGCAGATAAAACACTAAGACACAGACTGACCAGTAAGCAGAAGCGAACAGGCTGGTGGACGCTTGACTGGGATGTGAAGCGTCACTCGTCTTGGCAGGCCTAAGCATTCAGAAAATGGTGACTGGCTCAGTAGAAATTTATCTCCAGAAATCGCTGTAATTGTCAGAATTACGATCCCATCGCTGCCACCATTTGTTGGGAAGGGTTCGTGGAAATGTGATGGTTGAAGTTAAACACACTTGTTGGATGGTAACACTTATATTGGCAGTGTGTGAAATGGGGGAGCCCAACCTGCCTGTCCTGTTGCTTGATAGGTCTACCGGAAACTGAGGACGAGGACCGAGAGCACAGCGCTCACATCGGCATCACGTGACGTCACATAAGTTAGTCACTAGCCTAGCAAGGGATCATGTATGAAAAACATATGGATGGTACTAACTATGACACTCAGATAAGCTATACAACACATGTAGGGGATCAGCAACTATGCTGACAGTGGTACCAACACTCTTATATGGGTGTGAAGCTTGGGTTGTAAATGCTGCAGCGAGGAGACAATTGGAGGCAGTGGAGATGTCCTGTCTAAGGGCAGTGTGTGATGTAAATATTATGCAGAAAATTCGGAGTGTGGAAATTAGGAGAAGGTGTGGAGTTAATAAAAGTATTAGTCAGAGGGCTGAAAAGGGCTTGTTGAGGTGGTTTGGTCATTTAGAGAGAATGGATCAAAGTAGAATGACATGGAGAGCATATAATCTGTATGGAAAGGAAGACGGGGTAGGGATCATCCTCGAAAAGGTTGGAGGGAGGGGGTAAAGGATGTTTTGTGGGCAAGGGGCTTGGACTTCCAGCAAGCATGCATGAGCATGTTAGATAGGAGTGAATGGAGACGAATGGTATTTGGGATCTGACGAGCTGTTGGAGTGTGAGCAGGGTAATATTTAGTGAAAGGATTCAGGGAAACCAATTATTTTTATATAGCCGGACTTGAGTCCTGGAAATGGGAAGTACAATACCTGCACTTTAAAGGAGGGATTTGGGGTATTGGCAGTTTGGAGGGATATGTTGTATATCTTTATACATATATGCTTCTAAGATGTTGTATTCTGAGCACCTCTGCAAAAACAGTGATTATGTGTGAGTGAGGTGAAAGTGTTGAATAATGATGAAAGTATTTTCTTTTTGGGGACTTTCTTTCTTTTTGGGTCACCCTGCTTCGGTGGGAGACTGTCGACTTGTTAAAAAAAAAAAATAGTTTAAGGCATCTTTTATAAAATTTGTATGTCGAGTTTGCCCCACTACTCTCAATACCTCATATCAACTTCCTAAATATTACATTTATTCATCCTATTCCATGTCTGTGCTTTGTATACTGGAATAGAAATAGTACATTGTCAACATGCCTATTTGTAAGTACTTTAAATAAATATGCTGAGTGATATTAAAATCTCACGAAATCTACAGTCAGGTAAATAGAAAATTACATTACGTACTGTATTTTACGGCGAACAAGACGCTCTGGTGTTGAGGAACCCCTCCCCCCCCTACATTCTGATTGGCTAAATTCTGGAGAAAAAGATAAACTGTACTTCAGCCTCCAGGATGCTGGGTAAATTTTTGAGATTTAATTTGGGAAAAATAGCTTCTTAATGCCATAAAATACGATACTTGTTATGAACAGTTCTTGAGATTTCAAATTATGCATGCAGTAAAATTTATTGGCTTTTAATTACAGATATCGAAGAAACACAAAGATGTTGAGTTTTTAAGCAATGCAGGAGTACAGGAAGTACAAGCCAAATATAAACCCTTGCACCCTGCCCTCAAAAGTTCTGAAACCCTGCAACTGTATTATCGCAAACTTGCACAAATTTTACTACAACATTATTTACCTATTGAAGTGACACGTTGTGACCTCATTTGATCTCACTTAGAGATCTTTTTGCTCAAAACATTTTACAGGCCCTTGTGGACCTCCTTTGTGATAATCTGTGGCTTAACACAACACTTGTAGAAATACTCTCGGGAGTGGCAGAGGATACAATAAACAGTGAAGAAATACAGAAAGGCAGTCAGTTAAGAGAGGAAAAGACTCTGATTCAAAATTCTGTTGAAATATTGACGAGTGCATCACTAATTGCAAATGAAGATAAAATGTTACACACAAATTTCCTTGAATCAATAGAAGAGGAGACTGTGTCAGATCTCCAACAGATAGACTCTGTATGTTCCCTTCCTGCTCAAAACTCATTACTTAGTGAAAGTTGTCCATCAAAATCTGAAACAGTAAAGACATATCTGAAGAGAAAAAATTTGAAAATGCTGAGGCCCTTGTTGAATATGTAAGGAGTTCCAGTCTAGAGAAGAAGGATAGTAGTGAAGAGGAGGATTATAGGAGTGTGTCTTCAGCATTAGGCACACTTATTTCTACCACAGCAGGTCCTTTGCTACCAGACAACTCCTCTTCTCTCCTGTATCAGCCATTTATGTCTAAGATGTGGGAGAGTCCTGTGGAAGATAGGTGTTTTGTTGATGCTCCACCAGTAAAGAAAAAGAAGAATCCTTTTTCACGTACTGTTGTGGAAGGCATGAAGGAGGAGGATTACAAATTAATGTATTCTCCAAGTAAAGATGAGAAGACTTCAGTGAATATATCTGGTTCAGCTTCAGAAGAAGACTACTGCATGGTGCCAAAGTTAGAGGAAGCAAGTAAAATGAGAATAGAAATTAGAGTTGAGGATAGTGAATGTGTGAATAATAAAGATATTGAAAAGTCTTTAAGTATACCCAGCCTAAGAGATATTCCTAGAAGTAAGAGTTGTGGAAATCTTATAAATAAAGAGAAAGACATGGCCTTGGATGAGGAAGCAAAATTATGTTCCTCACTCAATGAACTAGACAGGCCAAAAGACCCAGAAGAGTTGAAAGGTTGGGCTAACAATGATTCATTTAGTGTAAGTGAAAGTGAAGATTTGGGAAACAGGAAAGAAAAAGGTCATTTGGTGAAAATGTTGTCGTTTGATAAGAACGATGGAACAGATGAGGTTTCCATGCAAAGTAGTGAACTGGATTCCAGAACTGGTGACTTGCCTCCACAAAGGCAAAGTGAGTGTTCAGAAGTTTTTCAGAGCAGCCAGAATTGTGTTCCTCCTGCTTTAACGAGTTCAGACTCCCTACCGACTGAAACAGTGTCCGAGTCTAATGCAGATGCTGAACTTCCTGGTACTTCAGAGATTCCACATTCACCTCCTATAAATAATGCTGGATTTGGTTGGGAGAATCCAGACCTCTCGCCAATATATGAAGAAAGTGAAGACTTGGCATCTACAATTGCCAAATTAAGGTATGGCATCCTGACTTCATTTTGGTGCTAATAGGAATTAAGATTCACATTTTTCTCATGTATTTCCATTCTGCTCTCATTGTGCTTAGGTATTATGGCCCTTATAGGCTTAGTTCTCCATGAATATAATAACAAGTGTTCAGATTTCATCAGCACTTAATCATTTCATTCGTATGTCTGGTTGTCCATTAAGCATTTAAATTTATGCCATGCACTATACGTATATTATTTTATGCTCCTCGTTTTGTTTTTTCCACGTCTCACTTTTGCCTTCTGTTACGATTATTGTTGTTGCAGTTTTATATAGTTTTCTGTGTCTGTTATCTGAGTTACTAAAAGCCATATTGTCTAGAATTAAATAGCAGATGCTTTAAAAATATGGATTCAGGTTATAGAGTAGAAATAATTAGTGATTACCAGTGTCTGAATTATTTCATAAAAACTCTGCAGGTGTAACTCTACCATATCTGTTGGATAGAAAAATTATCCACAGTTATTAAGAAGCATACATATGGCTAGTTTTAAATCAGATATTCCTTTTGCTTATCCATCTACAGTATTTTTATCATTAAAGCCTTGTTCCTTCTGGAGATTTATTTTGCAAACACCAAAGCATTCCTAAGGCTTACTAAGGAACTCCTGATGCATTTGTCAAAAACTTCCTGATATTAGATTATATAACTCAAAAATAATCACTGTCATCTGTTTGCACTAGGAAATAAGAATATGGACACAAGATGAACCTCCTCCCCAGTAAGAACATAAAAGTGAAAAAGAAATTTGGGAAAACTAGAAAAGTACAGGTAAGGGAAAATGAGATGGGGAATTATATTCATATAGTGGACATATACCTAGGTAAGAGGTTGGTAGACAGCAAGCACCCAGGGAGGTACTACCGTCCTGCCAAGTGAGTGTAAAACGAAAGCCTGTAATTGTTTTACATGATGATAGGATTCCTAGTGTCTTTTCTGCTTCATAAATATGCAAGATTTCAGGTAAGTCTTGCTACTTCTACTTGCACTTAGGTCACACTACACTTGGGTGTACATGTACAAGCATATATATACACACCCCTCTGGGTTTTCTTCTATTTTCTTTCTAATTCTTGTTCTTGTTTATTTCCTCTTATCTCCATGGGGAAGTGGAACAGAATTCTTCCTCTGTAAACCATGCGTGCCGTAAGAGGCGACTAAAATGCCGGGAGCAAAGGCTAGTAACCCCTCCTCCTGTATACATTATTAAAGTTAAAAAGAGAAACTTTTTTTTCTTTTTTGGGCCACCCTGCCTCGGTGGGATACAGCCAGTTTGTTGAAAGAAAGAAGAAATTATTAAGGTCATTTTTCAACTAAATGTTTGCAATAAGTATGGATGTCATTGCTCTCTGTTTGGATCTCTTGTGATTTCACTTAGGAATAACTATCAGCCACAAGCTTCATCAAATGTTGACTCTTCTCACCTGGGCTAATTCTTAGTATAATCATGTACTGTTATTTCAGTCCAGTCAAGGCAAGAAGCAATCCAAATAGTAACTTAAAATCTGATATAGAATACAGAAAAAATCTGAGCCATGAAAATCTAAGCTAAACATTACATTTTTTTTTTTTCAACAAGTCGGCCATCTCCCACCGAGGCAGGGTGACCCAAAAAAGAAAGAAAATCCCCAAAAAGAAAACGTTTTCATCATCATTCAACACTTTCACCACACTCACACATTATCACTGTTTTTGCAGAGGTGCTCGGAATACAACAGTTCAGAAGCATATACGTATAAAGATACACAACATATCCCTCCAAACTGCCAATATCCCAAACCCCTCCTTTAAAGTGCAGGCATTGTACTTCCCATTTCCAGGACTCAAGTCCGACTATATGAAAATAACCGGTTTCCCTGAATCCCTTCACTAAATATTACCCTGCTCACACTCCAACAGATCGTCAGGTCCCAAGTATCATTCGTCTCCATTCACTCCTATCTAACACGCTCATGCACGCTTGCTGGAAGTCCAAGCCCCTCGCCCACAAAACCTCCTTTACCCCCTCTTTCCAACCCTTTCGAGGACGACCCCTTTACATCTCAAATAAAAAAAAAAAAGAGGACTTGGCAATGCCTGTAGTCCATATCCTCTTGTAATGTGTTCACTAGTCTTTGTGTGAAACTTGATCTATGCATTGTGAAAGAATACAATAAAGCTTGGTTGATTGTTGCAGAATCTTAAGAGACAATAATAGTATCATAGCATCTGTGCCTATATCATGTCTTATCCAAATCATTGCTGTCAAGTAAAGGTATTGTTGCCATATCATGATGATGTAAAAATATAATGAACTATAACAGTTACAGGTAGAAGTTGGGTTGTCTTAGATAATGGCAGCATTGTAGGCTACATCGTATTTTTTTTTTTTCAACACGTCTACCATCTACCACCAAAGCAGGGTGATCCAAAAAAGAAACACTTTCACTATCATTCAACACTTACACCATCATTCACACATAATCACTGTCTTTGCAAAAGTGCCCAGATATGACAGTTACTATAGCATCATGAGCTATTAATGCGTATACAGTGGACCCCCGGTTAACGATATTTCTTCACTCCAGAAGTATGTTCAGGTGCCAGTACTGACTGAATTTGTTCCCATAAGAAATATTGTGAAGTGCATTAGTCCATTTCAGACCCCCAAACATACACGTACAAACGCACTTGCATAAATACACTTACATAATTGGTCACATTTGGAGGTAATCGTTATGCGGGGGTCCACTGTATTATCAAAATATCATATTTATTTCTTCCTTTGTAAGAATATGTTGCTGTAGCTTTAGAATGTGTGCTTCCTTTAAACAATACACAATTTTGGATGTGTTGCAAAATTGGTTAATAGTTTAATGCTAAGGAGTTTAAAATATGTATATATTTTTTCCAGGTCATTACTTACTGAGAGGGAAAGTCAACATAGCCTTGGTAGTCTGAGTTCTCATGGATCAAGTGAAAGTGAACCCAAATCTGCGCAGTCTGACCCTGGAAGATACAGTTTGGAGAAATCACGTTTCACCTTCACTCATAAAGACAGTTCTGGCTCCTTGGGTTAGTTTTACCACCAAACATTGTAATGTTTATGAAATTATACTTGGACTGAAGCATTATGATGTACTTGGCAGTTAAAATTGAAACATGGGAGATGTAAGTTGGGGAGGAAGAGGTGCTGAAAAGATGGAGAGGATATTTTAACAAGTTGCTGAGAGTTAATTATTAAAATTAGGCAGTTTAATTCCTGGGACAGAGAGGGATCATATTATCATACGAGGATAGTGAGGCTCAGGTTAGGGTATGTACGAGAGTGGATGATTGTTTTCCAGTAAAGCAGGTCTTAGACAGGGATGCATGATGTCACCATGGTGGTTTAACGCATTTATAGATGGAGTTGTAAAAGAAGTGAATGATAGGGTGTTGGGGAAAGGTTTGGAATTAAAATATGCAGAATGTAATACAAATAGTAGTCACAGTTGCTTTATGCTGATGACACTGTGCTTTTAGGAGATTTTGAAGAGAAGTTGCTTATTATTTACATATCAAGTCTATTATTTTTTCCCAGCCTCTGTAAAATCTGTATCAAGTTTGGAATCCTGTGGAAATGGTACTACAGATGAGGAGCTCTTAGAAGCTGCTGAAATTCCACTAGATGGTAGAGTGTTCCTCAGTGTTAGTGTTCCATCGACAGAGGTACACACAGAACCTGGAGGTGCTCAGTATACCCTCTATACTATTCAGGTTAGTTTGTAACTTCATCTAAATTTTCATGCACAATTTCTGATTGACTTGTATAATTTTTTATTTTTACCAAGTCGGCTGTCTCCCACCGAAGCAGGGTGACCCAAAAAGAAAATACTTTCATCATCATTCAACACTTTCACCTCACTCACACATAATCACTGTTTTTCCAGAGGTGCTCAGAATACAGTTTAGAAGCATATACGTATAATGATACACAACATATCCCTCCAAACTGCCAATATCCCAAACCCCTCCTTTAAAGTGCAGGCATTGTACTTCCCATTTTCAGGACTCAAATCCGGCTATATAAAGATAACCGGTTTCCTTGAATCCCTTCACTAAATATTACCCTGCTCACACTCCAACAGCTCGTCAGGTTCCCAAATATTTTTCGTCTCTATTACTCCAAATTAACCCCACTCATGCAAACTTGGGAAGTCCAACCCCCTCGCCCACAAAACCCCTTTCCCCCATCCCTCCCCTTTTCGAGGAGGAGGGACCCCTACCCCCCCTTCCCTTTTCCCCTTTCAGATTTTTTAAAAATTCCATTCATTTTTTCTTTGATCCATTCTCCCCTAAATGCCCCAAATACCTCAACAACCCCTCTTAGCCCTCTTGAGGTGGTTTTTTTAAAATTATGTTTTTCTTTATTGTTATTTCAGTTTTAAAAGCTTATAGGGGGAAAATTCTAACATGAATTTGGGATGTTTCAAAAAAAAATTTCCCAAAAAGGGTTGGGAAAGTTTAAATTTAAAATTAAAAAAAGGAAAAGTTTTTTTAAATATTTTAATTTGAAGAAAAATGTCAGTGTGTAAATGCATTTTTAAACACTTTGCTAAGGGTTGGGGGCCCCCTACCAAATTTGGGGTTTAAAATTATTTAAAACCTGTTGGGGGGCCAGTCCCAAAATGGGTACGTCTTTCAAACCCATTGTGGGGGACTGGGGGGCCCCCCCCTTAGAGCGTAATTTCCCTGAAAAACCTCACGGTACGCACCGCCCCGAAATTTTACCAAAAACACCTTACGAATAGATCTACTGCAGTAGGAGTATTCTCCTCCCAAATCTTTTGGTATTTACGGGTTCTCTGCTTTTGAAGAGCAGCTCACTGGGGTTTTTTGGGCCCTCAGTTATTTGGGACGGCCGCATTCATTTAAAGCTTGAAAACCATAGTGTGTTCTGCCCCCGGGGCCCAAACCTTGTGGTGTTTTCAACGGGTCTTAAAGGGCGGTGTTAGTACTCACCGCCATCTTAGGGTTTGTACTTCTCCCGGCCTTAGGGTTTTACAGGACTACCGGTGATGTCTGGGGGATCACCCCCTACGGTGGTAAAACTGGGGGGCCGGGGTTTTCATTTTGTGCGGGTTTTGTGGGACATTACATGGGGGAAAAGGTTGGAGTTTTTACAATAAAATGGGAGGGGACCTTTGGTTGAAAACTTGGGGAAAGTATGATGGAGTGGAACACTGAAAATATGCTAGGGGGCCTTTAGGGGGAAACACGGGAAAAAAAAAAAAGGGTTGTCGTTGTGACACTGAAGGGGCCCTTGGTTGTGTGTACATTGAATGGTCAGTGGATTTGGTCGGGATAAAAAGGGACGCTGTGGGTGTTTAGTGTGGACGCAGAAAACAAGGGTGTCAAAAAGTGACCCGTAAAGATTTTTGTGTATGATGCAGGGGAAAAGGGAAAAGGGTTTCTTTGGATACGGAGAGTAGGAGTGTTTTGTGCACAGGGGAAAAAAAAGGGTGTTAGGGGGCCCAAGGGTTGAGCAGGAGGGGTCATTACAGGGGAAGAAGAAAAGGGTGTCAAGTGACACGGGTTGGAGGGAAAGTGTCAAAACCCACCCCAAAGGATAAGTGCGTGAGAGACACGGGGCGTCATAGGATTTTGGGATTAAAATTTATTATCCCAAATGTTTTTTTTTTTATTTTTTTTATTTTCACACCGGCCCCCGATTCCCACCAGGACAGGGTGGCCCAAAAAAAGAAAAACTTTCCCCATCATTCACTCCATAAAGGGTTTTGCCAAAAAGGGGGGCTTTACATTTAATTTTTTTAAACTGAAACTTTAAACCCCCCCTTTTTCAGAGTGCAGGCACTTTTATTTCCCCAATCTCCGGGGCCCTAAAGTCCGGCCTCCCGGGTTTTCCCCAAAACCCCTTCATAAATGTTTCTTTGTCAAACCCCAAAACAGCACGTCAAGTTTTAAAAAAACCTTTTGTCTCCATTTCACCCCATAAAACCCGGGCTCACGCATGCCTGGGGAAAGGGCCCAAGCCCTGCACAAAAAACCTCCTTTACCCCCTCCCTCAACCCTTCCTGGGGCCGCCCCCCTCCCCGCCTTTCCCTTTCCCACTACGGATGATAAAATTTGAAGTCATTCTGTTTGTCCTTTTCTTTACATGTCCGAACCCTCAAAAACCTTCCTCGGCCCTCTGGACAACGTTTGGTAATCCCGCACCTCCCCCTTTAACTTCCAAACTCGAATTCTCGGGCCATTATTTCACCCCACCTTTTCCCCTTCAGACTTGACTTTCCCCAAATGCCCCCCGCCTTTTTTCCTCGCGCAAAAATTCATCCCCCACGTTTTCACCCCATATAAGAGGTTGGTTAAAAACTTTTAATTTTTTTTACATTCCCCTCTTTGCCCCCAAAGGGACAAAAGTTTTTTTGTCCCCACAGCCCCAAATTTTGCCCCACTCCTTTTTTCCCCTTTCATCAATTCTTGATTCCCTCATTTTTTTCATAGCCCCACCCGGGTGACACGTCCCAACCCCAAATATCTGAATAGGTTCCCCTCCTCCTTCCTCTTCCCTCCAATCTGATATTAAATTTTTTTTCTTTCACCTAATTTTTTTGGTTATCCTCAAAACCTTACTCTTTCCTGTATTCCCCTTTTAATTTTCTTTTTTTTGAAACCCCCCCCAAAAAATTTCATCCCCAAACCCTCTGCAACTTCTTTTCCCGAATCCCCCAAAGGGCCCACAGTTTTCATCAGAAAAAGAGAGCTGTGCCCAAATCCCACTTTTGGGGGTTCTTTATTTTTTTAAACTCCACCCCTCTTGCCAAGGCCCCTCGCATTTATTTTCTCTTAAACCCCATTTTATAAATATTTTAAACAACAGGGGTGACATACACTTTCTTTTTTAAGGCCAATTTTACTGGGAAAAAATTTCCCTTTTTTCCCTAATACTCTAACTTGACCCTCACTTCCTCGTAAAAAAAACTCTTACTGCTTTCAGTAATACTCCTCCACCTCCCATTTGCAAAAACTGCCACATTGCCCCCCTATCCCCCCCCTTGTCATACCCCTTTTTCCCAAAATTCCTTTTGGGCCAAAAAAGGACCTTTTTTCCCTTAATCTAAATTGTTCATTTTTATTTTTTCCTGAAAACACCGGGCCCAAAAACCCCCTCCCTTTCCAAAAACCCTCCTTGTTCATTTGTTTTCCCTTTTTCTCCGTCTTACTTTTAAATTTTTTTTTTAAATTAAAACCCTCTACCAACTTTCCCAAGGTATTTTTAAAGGGATTTCCCCCTATAATTTTTGCCCCTCTTTTTACCCCCTTTCCCTTTATAAAAGGAATTTATGCTGTCTCTGCCAACCCCTAGGTACCTTCCCCTTTTCCCTTACATTTTTTAAAAAAAATTGAAAAAAAACCCCCCAAAACCCAAAATTTTCCAAAAACCTGCTTTTAATTTTTCTATCTTTTTTTCCCATAAAATCCCGGCTGCCTTCCCCCCTTTTCATTTTACCTACTGCCTCACGAATTTCCCCCCACCTCACAACTGGCTTTTCCTTCACTCCAAAAAGATTTTTGCCCCCTTTGCCCTATACACAAAAATCACAGTTCCCCTTTTCATCCCTTTTAACCCAATTCCTCAAATTTTCCCTTCCCTTTCTTCCCAATACCCTAATCCCCCTTTAAAAACTTCCTCTCCTATTTTTAACTGACAAATCCATTTTTTTCTTTGGCTTTTTTAAAACTTGTTATTCTCACTAAAAAATTTTTTTTTTTTTCAAAAAAAAATTTGTTGAAAACATCTCACCCCCTCTTCATTTGCTTTCTTTTTCCCCTTGCTTAAACACTCTTTAAAATTCTTCTTTTTCTCCATTTTACTTTTCCCCTCCTTGCATCACTTTATTTTGTAAAACTTCTCATTTGTACTTTTTCCCCCTTTTATACTCTCTTTCACATAATTCCCCAAAATCGTCCTCTTCCCCCCTGCCCCCCTTTTTCCTGAAACCCCAAAATTGGGGGCTGAACCTTTAACACCATCCTTTTTTAAAAACCTACCCCATCCCTCTTCGCCCCCATTCCCTAAAATTTATTAACAAATTTTTTTAAAAAATTTTTTTTCACTAAGGAAATTTGGGGGGTTTGAAAATTGGTAATAATATGATATTGTTTTTATGGACTTCAGTAAGGTTTTTGGGACGGGGTCCCACATCAGGGGGACTATTAAAAAAAATTAAAGCACAGGGAAATGGAGGGAAAAATTTTTTCCCGGGATGGGGGGGGGAGGTTGGGGCAAAAAAAGGCGCAGAGATTTTTTCCCCCAAAAAATGGGGAGAAATAAAGGTGGGGAGTGTTCCACGAGGGGGTGTTCCACAGGGGTCAGTTTTGGGGCCCCCTGCTGTTCACAATTCCCTTTTAAACGACATGTTTGGGGGATAAAGAGCGAATCGGCAAGTTTTCCCGATGACACCAAAATGGGCCCTTTCAAATTCATTTTTGACGGGGAAACATTCGAGCACCCCGGGGGAAGTTTGAAAAAATGTGCAGGGGTGGGGAAAAGGGGAAAGATCCATTTTTAATATAAAAAAAATGAAAATTTTAAAATTTTGGAAAAGGACAAAAATTCATGCCACATAAAAACTAAAAAAAAATTGTAGATTTTTTTATAGGATTGCGAAAAAGATTTAGGGTCTGGTTAGCGTAATCTAAAACCAAGACAAAAAGTGCTAAGTGTTCGAAAAAAAAAAGCAAATTTAAAAACC